TTTATATATAAACAAAATATAATAAAATTAAATAAAAGTGAAATAAATACAATAAATGCAAGGATTTATTTAAGTTACTATCACGTAATATTAGGCTTTTGAACTGTTCTTGTGCTGACTTCCAAAAGTTAATAATCGTTTATAAATTGTTTAATTATCGACTACCCAACAATGAGCCGATTACCGACTACTTCATGTTCCGCCAACTAATGATTTCTTTATATATATGCATTATAAGGATTTTATTTTTAAATTCTATACCAAGCTACACAAATATTATCATTTTTAGGTTGTATTATCGTTACTTAGGTGCGACTGCAAGCTCTTAATGTTTTTTATCTGTGCAGTCGAAGCTATATATTTATGTTCCTTTACATATGTAAGGCTTATGGATGTTAGTTTCTGTTTTCGTAATTCTTACATGCAATACTAAAATTAATTAAATTTAAATAAAAGTTATGTATTACCATTCAGAGTAACAAGCCAAAAGTTGGTTAAATTTTTATTCCCTACATCTCTAGAAACTAATTCGTTTTACAATATAACATTAAACGGAAGATTGACACTCTTTAAGACTGTGATGAAATTGATGACTTACTGTTTATATGGTATATAATTTTATGTGAAAAAGTAGATATACAGAGTGTTGTCATTTAAGAGAAAAAAGTGTTAAAGTATAAAGTATTTGAAACTGATTTGTACATTGTGTATTTATTGTGTATTAAGCAAGTCAACATTTAAATAAATTTGCAATATTTTAAAATTTGGTTCAACCTTTAATTGTGTTTTCAGCTCATTTTCAGCCCATTAACATAAATATTTTAATTAAAAGCTATAATAAAACTCTGCAGTCCCATGACTCAAATGAATTAACTGTTTTCTGAAGCATTTTAATGTCCACTTCATGTCAGCTGAAGCCAGTGAAACTCGAGATTAGCTACAAAGGCTACTCTAAACATTTTTACACCAACTGCACACAAAAACAAAAAAAAAAAAAAATTGAGAACATAAACACTTGTTATTTAAATCTTAAGTGCTCAGACCACACTTAAGTGCACACCAATTAGGTTTGAAAATTGTTATTTAAGATGTCTAATAATGTAATGTATCTGAAGGTATGTATTGGGTTACATGCATTTGCAGAACTGAGTAAAACAATTTAAATTAATTATAAATGCGACACTGTTAATGCGCAGTGGCGGTGCATTGCATTGCTGCATCGCTACATTGACGGCCAGAGCACTAGTAGCACCATTCTTGCAGATACGAGTATCTTGGAATTAACTCCGTCATTGCATTTACGCCAAACGAAACTGTCAATGCATTTTTAGTGAAACTGTCGATCAATTTAATGACCACTTAAATGCCATAATGCCATTTTTCGCATTTTCTGTAATTAATCATGACAATTTGTTTTTGCACCTACTTGCAGTCGTTAATTAGAAATAATTTTGCGATTTTTGCTGCTCGCAAATGACAAAAAAATTTTGCTTTGTATTTGCTTGACTTGAGGTGCTAATGCGATTATGTGAGTGGGCCTTATGCGTCTAATAAGTTTTGAAGCCAATATGTCAATTAGTGAATTGATTTTAACCAATAAGTCAATATTTATTCGTGTTCGTTTCATTTCTGGCTAAACGACAAGGACAGTTGGCAACTTCATTTGTTACGACTTCAAATTCAGTGCATTTTAAAATAATTAATTATTAAAAATTCCAAACGATTTTAAATGATTTATGATGCTTTCTGCTTAGGATTATTAATGTATCTCTATTTGTATCATTGCTCTAGAAACATTTCCAGACGCATGCTTAAGAATTCTGTTGTATATTTTCATTTCCGCATTGTACTTCATAATTCACATAATTCACATAATTCACAACTCAATGATGAGAACGGTTTCTTGAGCCTAATGAGCTAAAGAGTTAAAGAATAATAATCTAATTAAAGTTATAACAAAATAAATCAATACACATAATAAAGGTGAACTATGTATTTCAGATATTCGCTTTGTTTCTATGGTTTTGTTTTTTTTTTTTCATTATTTATTTAGTTCAGTTTATTTATTTAAATTAATTTTAATCCGTACTCATATTTTTCTTGTTTAAGGAAATTAATTCAGAAAAGTCATGCTGAGCAAAATGGTCATTAAAACAAATTGAACGTTTTACTTAAAAATAGGAAAAACATTCAAAATCCGCCTGAGATTGTACCGTTTTCGTGGTAAGGCCATTGCCATAATTTCGTTTTTATTATGAATAAATTTCAATTAAGCTCACGAAATTTGGACTAATAAGATTTTCAACAATACAAACATATTCTCATTAAACTTTTTTAAAGAACATTTACAAGATTTGAAAACAATGAATTTGTCTCATTCGAATATGAAGGTAGTTTCATTAGAAATTAAGACCCAAAAAATCTTTGTCATTTACAGAAATAGTTAAATACAATAATAAACATGTTTTTATTACAAAGTGGATTGCAATATAATAAAAAATTAAACACAAAATAAACTTCTTCACTTCAGCAATGTTTGCAGTCAGTGCAGAATTTGGCTCAAGTACATACAGTTGTTTAAAGGAAAAGGAAGTAAAGGAAGTAACTAAGTAGAACGTGAAGTGCTTAAAATCACTATAGCCCAAAAGCAATTAAATATAATAGCTTAAGTTACTTACCATGAACATCCTTTAATTAGATGCTGAATATATTTTCTACCCAATGCGTATAAAAATTTTTGACTACTTTTGTGAAAAACCTCATTTATCTCTATCTGGCAAAAATTTGTTACTAAATAATTTATCTGTGTTGGATCCAATAGAAATGTTTAGAGTTCCATAAGTTGCTAAAAAGAACAGCACTGTTACCGACAGCCGTTCCTTATCCCATGTATTCGTCTTGTAATCCTATCATGTTATCTGCTTTCAGGTCCTGGCAGGTTACAACAACAATAACAACAGCCGTTCGAGAATATAACTCTGAGCGATGTTAGGATGAAAGAATGGTTGAGTTTGAAAAAAGCAAATGATTACACAATCCTTTAATATGATCCTTTAATACAACCCAATGCAAGACAATATATTGCTGTACCTGATATAGATGATTGAAAAAATAAAATTGAGAAGTTCTACTACACCCACCCTATTCGCTAGACATAATTTCATTAGCATACCATTCTTAGCAGTCGCTAATTCGTCGTGCTTTAGAAATTTTATGAAAATTGGAAAATTGGAAAATTGGAAATGGTAGTGAATTGGACTGCTTCTATGGATGAGCATTTTTACTTAAGCAGCGGTAGTTGGAAAAGTTTATGTTTCTAATATACGAAAATTTAAATAATGTATTATTTTTTTAAAATTTTTGTTTATACGTATATCTGTTTATTTGTTCTCTTAAAAACCTCGTCTTTTAATATATATATAATGAAATATATAATGAAATAAAAATTAACGGTGCTTGGCTAACAGAGAGCTGAACACTACAACCATTTTGTGTAAATTATTGACCCTAACAGAAGAGAAGTCAAATGAAAGCCCAAATATCAGCTGTCGAGGACATCTCAGCTGTGGGCGAGTATAAGTCTCAGTATCTAATGTGAGTATAGATCTTATTCGCTCTCAAGCAGAGCACGTACCAGCTTTTTCGCTTGGAAATTATTGGAGTGTTGCGCCAATAGCTACAGCTACTTAAAAATTTGTTGGATGTTGGTTTTAAAAAAAATTTGATTCACCTTAAGACTCAAAATGGAAAAGGCTAATATATAGTCTTCCAGCTAAAATATTTTGTTAACAGCTTATTCCTTTTAGTTTTTATATGTACTTTTTACACATTTTATACACATCTGTAAAATTGTATGTATTAATGAATGAACCCATTAGATAATTCTAATATAAAATAAACTAAATTTAGTTATATTCTAAATAAATTAAAAACATGAATTTTGTGTGTTTGTGACATGAGACCTATGGATAAATACTGCTGGTAACAGCTCCTTCTAATTAGACACAACCGATTTTCTTTTTGTTAAGTATGATAGAATGATTTCGACAAATCTTTCGTCCCTCCTTCAAATTCGTCTGAGCAAAGTTAAAGTATTGTTACAATCGCTATATATTTTGCAACCTTGATGCACTTGATGTTTATGTGAATAGATATCTCTGTATATAATAATTTTTGATATATTAGGTGATGCTTTATATAATATATATTTACAGTTCCAGAAGCGTGGATTTAATTATCTTATATATATGTATGCAAATAAGGTAGGTTAGTAGGGTTACAGATTGTTAGCACCTTTGTTCTGAAGCAGTTGGACTATACATTGGCTAAAGTCTTTGAGAGAACCTGATTCTCGGTTGAAACCTAACTTATCACTTTTGGTTCTTCGTGCTATAATTAGGTGTTGAACGTGTTCCTGGACAAAATGAGTCTAAAGTACTGCTTTTTATACTGAATTTTACGAATGGGGTACCAACATAGAACAAATATCATCTTTATTTTTGTGTATTTTGCAGCTTTTGTATAAAGTTCCACTAATGAAGAAATTTATTTAATAATAGGAATTTTTAACTGATGCAGTATATACAATAGTTATACCACTCAATATATAATATGAGCAACTTCTTATAAAAAAAATATGATTTGAAAAAACGTTTAAAAGATTGATTTTGACTCATTTCTAGTAGCAGTCACAAGATAATCGTGCGAAATAAAATTTTGCGTATTGCAAAAAAAACGTGAGAAAATATTTTCGTGATTTATTTCAGACTTAAATTAAAATTTCAAATTGCATGCATTAAACTTAGCCTCGAACTATGCTGGAATTATGTTTTTTTTCTATTCAAACAGTGTGTCAATGTCGGAGTTCATTCCAAATATAGCTCAAATCATAAATTAAA